TCCAGCGGGCAGGACTGGCCTAGGGGTATTTTAAATTGGTTTTAGCCAAATTTTAGTAGAAGCGGCCGATTATATATTTATTTTTAATGATTTTTTAAAACTTCTATTGTATTGTATTAAATTGTTTTTAACTGGCTGTAAGCCGCCCTGAGTCCTACGGGAGAAGGGCGGGGTATAAATTTAATAAAATGAAAAATGAGTGAAATGAAAGTCAGTGAGGCCAGTAGGGTGTAGTTGTAAGAAATTGGGGCAAAGACTTCAAAGACAGTTGGATTTTGAAAAAAGAAAAAGGCAGTATTTCATGAAGAGAGAACTCTGTTTCTTTCTAGGGAATTACTTTATTTTGCTTTGCCAGAGTTCTGCTTACGTCCCAGTATCTTTCCTCAGTTTATCAGCATGCTTTGGCCTTCTAAATGTTTTGGGAGTGAGCAAACAGTTTTTCCTGAGAAGATGTATTGAGGTCAGGGGCTTGTAATTTGACTCCCAACAATTCTTTTAACAGAAATCTCCCGAATTTCTGCAAACTATGTGTTTTGCTTGACTTGTTAAGTCAGTGACAAAAAAGTGTTAAACGTACTTCTGTAATATTTTCTTTTGCAAATATTTAAAAGGTTTTTTCCCCATAAAAATTAGTGTCATGGTCAACATAATCATAGTGAATAAAAAGAAAATTTGGCAAGAATATTTTTTTATCTTGTTACAGCTCACATATGTGCTCTCTCAACTTCTACTATTTTGACAGATCATAGCCATGTCAGCCTTCTGTGCTGTGTATTAAATTGTGATTGCTTCCTCTGCAGTCCAAGCACATTGTTTTTCTCAGTTTTGTAGTAGAACTGAAAGGTGAAGAGTGTAAGGAAAAAAATGTAAATTTATGAGCAAGAATAAGAAATTGGTATGCAATATTTCTGCCTTTAAAATAAATCCTGTAACAGTAACTTTTATTTTTGAAATAAGTTTATTTACATTTGTTTCTTTTGCAGTGTATTTTTTTACTTTTAATATATGGGGAGTCTATTAGTCTGAATTATTCTAAATTAGTCAGAAATTTTGGCTGCCTGCAATAATCAGCCAGAATTTGTAGCAGTAATCTAGAGTATGGCTCACATGGAAAAATAGAGTGTTGCCTCAGATGTCTCATTATCCCTGATACCGAATCCTTTACAGGGATAACCCCTTTTTTAGCTTGAATTGGACTTTCATTTTTGTTCTGCTTGCTTTGGAGGCACTTGAATATCTCATGGAGAAGAGACCTAGAACAGTCCTTGATACCATCCTTCATTTCAGAAATTCTCAAAACATTTCTGAGATTCAATCTTTGAAATTTAATTTTTGAACTTTTCTTTTAAGGACCAAAACTGAGATGCAGATAATGGGACCCGAAGGTGGTAAATTATCTCCTTGACGTAATGGAAGGGTATTCTTAATTGGATGTGGATGGCTAAAGATCTGATTAAGTTAAATATATGCTGAATGGCTTTGAGATATTTTTCTAGTCATAATTCCTTATTTTTACAATGGAATTAAGCTTTGGAAAAAAATCCTCTCATATTGGAAAATAGAATGACATGTGACATCTGCATCCAACTTAATTTTTATTTTTGAAAGATATTGCTTAATTTTAACAGAATAATGCTTTCTACTTCATAGACTCAACTGTGCAGCCGGAAGCAAATGTTTGAATCTGTGGAACTGGCAAGCCAATCTGAAATCCATCATTTAGCCAGCAAGTTGGAAAGAGCCAATGACACTATTTGTGCCAATGAATTGGAACTGGAGAGAGTTAATATAAGAGTAGATGATTTGACTGATACTAACCAGAACATTCTGTCAGAACAACAAAAGCTTCTACACGAACTGAAACTTTCCCGGAACTCCCTAGAGGTGTGTGAATGAATTGCTAGGAAGCTGAATAATACATATTATTATTTAGCCACTTCTTCTAGCATTCCATTGAGGCTAAGTAGGAAACATGGTTTGGTAAGAAAGGGATTCTCTGTTGAAAGGTAAATTTAATCCCATATGTTATATTCATTTTTAGTGAGTTTCATTTTCTTCTTTGAAGGTTCTTCATGATGAAAAGATGGAACTCAGGTCTACTCTGTTGTCTCAAGAGGACTTCATTACGAATTTACAGCTTTATCATGAACAATTACAGAAAGATTTGTCCAAGCTAACTGAAACTCTGAATGTGAAAGAAACTCTTATCAGGTGTGTCTACAAATATTGAGGAAAATATTGAACAGATTACTATGCAATATGTCATTATTCTTCAATTAAGAAGAGAAAACATGATTACATGGACATATAACATAATTTAAAATATTTTCTGATTTTTTTTTAGTAGGAAAACAGATGGATTCTCTTTATGTTGATTGTCAATACAACTGTTGCCTGTATGACAGAACTTAGAAAGGCAACAGGTTTTTTTTTTATAGAAAATTAGCATAATTTTGTTTGGCAAATTGAACTTTTTCTTAAAATTCTAGTAGAGCAAAGATAATGAAAACAGTTATCAAAATGTATTTGTGCATTATTATAAAGTGAAAATGTGCCTCTGGCTGTTGATTGTCAACACCCTTGCTCTAATTTCTCTTGATTTGGAATTGTCAGTTCAGCCAGTTTATGCATTGGGAACCACATATTTGACACTGTATGTTTGCTGTGATAAGAATATGTGTTGCTGTCCGCTGCATGCATGAAATTTCAACCTAATTGAATTCCTTAAGTTTCTAGTATTGTTAAAGCTCATCATCTTTCCTAAATTTGTTGTGAACTGCTGCCAAAAGTAGATAAAACTGGAACCAATAGTAGTATGGCCATCCTTCCATATGGTCTTTTTTTTTCCTCTTTTGTCCTGCATATAAGTCTACTAGGAAAAGGAAAAAATTCTCTTACCAAAGCCTACAGAGGATCACCCTCCCCACTTCTTGATCCTTTGTAATTCTCCCCATTTTCCCTTTTCCTGTTTCCTTAAAATTAGTCCCAGTGATTCACCCACCCACCTCATTTTAAAAAGTAATATCCCACCTCACTCTCTATGTGTGTTTGTGTGTGTGTTTTTACTTCAAGTCACTTTTGACTCCCAACAACTACATGGACAATTAACAAGAATCTGAGTGGCTCAATGTCACTCAGATGCCTTCATAAGGCAGGAATGGAAGTCAGGTTTTCCTGCTCCTAAACCAAACTCTAATCTCTAAACCAAACTAGCTCCCTTAATGTTCTAATAAGATATTTTAAATCAGTGTTCCAATATTAGGAAGACCAGTGACAATTCTTTTGTCAAACAGTCAGAATAAAGGTTGAGATAATAATTTTAAAAGATGTTGGTAAAAGGTTATGTTGTAATGTCATTGACTGATAATGCCTGTTAATGTAGTACGGTGGCAGAACTTCTTTTATTACACTTTTGATAAATATTTAAAGTTATTTTAAAGACACATTGCCATCTTCATTTATGCCATTAGTGTATCTACACAAATGCCTCCCTGTACAGCTGGTATAATTTACTTTGTTTGTTAGAAGGCTTCAAGCATTAAACTGTCTTGTCTAGGCAGCTGCAAAAGAATACAGAAGCCAAAGGAAACTACTATGGTGGAACAGAATTAGAGAAGCATTTATGCCAGCAGTTTGATGGCACTGAAGTGATTCAACTTGAGGGCAGGTACATGACCTCAAAAATTTCTTTATAATAAAAACCCCATGGAACAAAAAATCTGTTGGATTTGTTGAATTTGGCATTATGTTCCTTACAAATACTTGCTTTTGATTTTGCATGTATTTTTCTTGGCTTTAGCTTGGGATCTCCAGATGGAAAGTGCATCCAGCTATCTGAAGAGCAAAAGGAGAAGTTACTGGAGCTTCGACTAACTGAAGAACAGCTGTGCAAAGCCAAGACCGAGATAAAAAAAGTGTGGATCTCTTGTACAAATAAATATATTAAAATGCCCAATTTATGTATCATTAAAACAGATTGGGACAATATGAAGTTTCTTACGTTGTGGTAATGTAGACAAAGAAACAATTTATCATTAAGGGGTACTAAAAGAGGAGTGATGAATTATATTGAAGAAGATGATTCAGAATTTAAGATTATTTTCTTTGCAACTCAATACAGTCACTGCTTCCATTATTGCAATTTTCATGCCTGCAAGATAACCTTTCCATTTTAAAAGTAAATTATTTATGGAAAAAGCTGAGTCTTCAATTCAGGTTATGTAAGTAAAGTTAGATAACTGTAGAAAGTACAGACTCATATATGTTTATATTTTGGACTGCCTAAGGTGCTTATTGCAAAATACTCTTAAAAATGAGAAGAACTTCTCTGATGTCTCATATCATTATTATAGTTTCAGCAGAATTTGCAAAATTCCAGAAGAATAGTTGAATGCAAGGAATTGCAGACAGAGAAAGTCATCTAGCCTTGGCTAAAAAGAAAACTGAGCATAACTGTACACAATGAAATGTCAATAGTGTAAAGCAGCAGCTTGAAATTAAATGGAAGATGGCCAGCTGGGTGAAAGGGTGTGCTTAGAAATACAGTTCAGGTAGCGTTTTCTGTTAGATACCATCCAAATATCTACCAAATGCTATGCTGTCCTTAACTGGTATATCTTTTTCTTTTCCCATCAAGACTCAGACAAATTTTGAATATGAATCAACCTAAAGAAAGAAAAATATAGTACAAAAGTAATAAATCTATAGCCCCCCGTGGTTTTCTCAATGAAGGCTTCAAATTTAACCATTTCTCCCTCAAAATTGTTATGGGCTATTAGTGTCAAGGCTCAGGTATATGACATCCTCACATATTTAGATGAAAGTTATGTCCTAAATACTCACTCAATCCAGCACACACAAGAAATAAAAATATCCAGTGTAGTTCAAGCTTAAAGGGAAAGTACCCATAAATGGTGATGTATGGGAACTTAAAACTATGAACTAAAGAACTAGGTTTTGTTTTTCTTTCACACTGCTGATTTCAGAGGCAATTTCTTAATTGGTTAACTCAGTTTCCTAGTTCTGACTTCACATGAGGCTATGGTTTAAGACATGTTGAAATGTATATGGGCATTATATGAGGAAAAAACAGAATGCTTCAGCTTGTCCATGTTCCAGCAGATTGGCTTGTTAAAATGACTGTTTCATCTAAATTGAACTTAAGTTGCCCATTTAAAGTTGGTATATGGCAATCTGAGCATCCTGTCTTACATTCTCTTACAGTCCATATCAAATATTTATCTCAGATCAAGATGGAAGATAATCCTCTAGGAATAATGTGTAAAATCTGGAGGATTGAGAGTATTGTCTTAAGATGCCATCCTTTCTTTGAGCCATACTGGGACTTTTAGGATTTACAGCTTTCCACTAGTCCCAGCATTCCTACTTTTTAGGAGCTGCTGGTGTTTACTATAAATGAGGTTAGGAGGTTGTTCTTGTTTTGTGCAATTTGTACCCTAACTTGCAGATCTTTAGGAATTCAAATTATTTCCTAAAAGCAGTCTTACTTGGTCATATTTGTACTTTGTTGTTGGCTGGTTTCAATGAAAATACAGAAAATCATCAATTAGGTTCTATTTGGTTGAATACAAAGACTCTAGATGAATACTCCAACTTCAGACAGGACTGTTTTACTGTAACTTAATGTAATAGATTTCTGAAACATTGCTGCAGTATGGGATTAGCAAGGTAACAGGAGGAAATTATGCTATAGAGAGATTGGTATTACTTACTATGCATGATGATTATCACAAAAATGCTGACCTGCAAATTTGTATCCAATTCTGTCCAGATAAAGGAAGAGCTATCCCGCAAAGAGCAAAGTCATAGCCGAGAATTGGAAGGAATGAGGCTTGAGGTTACCCAATTAACACGGGAACTGCATCAACGTGACATCACAATTGCTTCTTCCTTGGGTTCTACTTTAAGCTTAGAGCAACAACTAAAAATAGAGATTGAAAAAACAGAGCAAAAGACAATAGAGCACAAGGTAAAATAATTGAATTCTACAATATTTTATAGTATAGTATTACAACTTGTTCGATTAAAAATAATAATATGGGACTTATTTTCTTTGGTTCCCTCGTTGTACATTCTAATCTTTTTGGTAATACTTGTTCAGATTTAAATATAATTACTAGTAACTTCAGAATATGAAAGTTTGGCTTCTCTTATTTGAAATAATTTATGATACTAAAATCCACATGGCTTGATAAGTGTATAGCCAAGGGGCTATTTATTTCCTGCATCTAATCTATACTAACAATTAAAAAAAATAAATTTATCTCTTAAGGCTGTTCTGTCTCAGTTGGAAGCCCTCAGACAAGAAAATCACCATCTGTCAGAGAAGCTGCAGAAGGTAGAATACATTTTGATTGAGTTGTGTTATTTCCTTCGATGCATTGAGTTGCTTAACTGCTTTATTGTACAGACAAATATTATTTTTATGCATTTATACAAAGTTGAAGATACTCCCCCAAAACAAATTACTATATGCATCTAATGTTGAAAGTAATAGTGGGGTGTAAAGTTGATTAGGAAATTTGTTTCTCAATATATTCAACAGAGTATGATTTTTTTTAAAAAGTTGTACACAAATAAGGTATTATTTTATTTAGTACGACCACTAGATGTCAGTGCAAGTTCATAATCTCAGTGCTGCCCTCTTGATCTCTGCATAAAAAGAGGACATTTTCTAAGAGACTCCCTATGAGAACGAGCCCTTACAAATGTTTCATATCTGGCATGAAATGAAACTAGACTTAACTTTTTTGTATCAAATAATAATAAAAATACAATAAAAATATACTTTTTACAAAATTAACAACAATTATGCCAGGATTTTTTTTGTTTCAAAATGGTTGGAAATTAATCAAAGAGAGAAGCAACCTGGAATTAAGGAGAAACTTCCTAACAGTGAGGACAATTAACCAGTGGAACAGCTTGCCTTCAGAAATCATGGGTGCTCCATCACTGGAGGTTTTTAAGAAGAGGCTACAGTCACTTGTCTGAAATGGTATAGGTTCTGCTGCTTGAGCAGGGGGCTGGACTAGAAGACCTCCAAGATCCAGTTCTATTATATTCTAAATTCATAAAGAACTATTTGAATTTGAAAAAATATTGCAGTTCTTGCAAATTAATTTTAATGAGTTAGGGAGCAGAAACTAACTCCAATAATTTTAATCATTTACCCATGTAACCATGAAGAAACAAAATGGAAATGACAATTAAATTCTTTTGCTTAAGGCAAGCAGTTATAAGTTATGTCACAATTTGTGTTTATGCTTCTGTTTGGCTTTGTCCGTAATAAGATTTTTAGATTCATTGCTATCGTTGTTTAAGGGTTTATATGGAGCAAAAATGTACTAATCATAGGGCAACTTCTACTAAATGGAGTATTAGGAGATTTTGAGTATCTTCAGCAAACAGAGAGCAGTCTCATTGTTTTGGATCTGAATTATGAAGCTATATACATGTTTAACTGTATACTGATTTGTGAGTGAGTTAAGTGGTTTTAAAGTTCATATTCATTTTAGATGAATGAGAGAAACCTTTGGTCTGTAGATTTGATTAGTTCAGATGATGATTCCAGCATTTAGTGATTGACTTGCCTTCCAGTGGGGTTCTTTCTTAATAAAATACTTGTAAATTTCTTAAATCCATAAAACAGAAAAATAACTTTAGAAGCAACTGAGTTTTATTAAACAAAAAAATTCTTACTAATGTGTTTCTATCATTTTAAGGCAAAAAGTACTTCCTTTGCAGAATTCCAGGAAAGTTATAACAAGGCTTTAAATAAAGTGGAACTTCAGAATAAGCATCTACAGAAAGAATTAGCAGAAACTAGAACTAACTTAGAAGCTTCGTCTTGGGTTTCTCAGAGCAAATATGATAATATTGTGCAGCAATTGCAGCATCAGGTGACTGAGATAACAAATGCAGAAAACAAGTAAGAATTTATATGATTTTGAAAATGGAGACTTTTTGAAAGCCTAACAAATACTAGATTTTGATTTAAAAAAAAAAAAAAATGCTGAAGCACTCTAAAATCTTTTTATAATTTCTAGTCATTTCCCATATTTTATTAATTGTAAATGAGATTTGATTATTTTTTTTTACATTGTTGCCAAACAGAAAAAACACTGAAAAGAGATGTTCTTCTCCCTTCTTCTTTCTTATTTGGTGAAAAACAGTTCCATGTGGTAGAAGCAGCTGTAATATATGCCTTTTGAATAGCACAGAGGGAAATTACATTTAAATTTTCTGTGGACTATATTGCATTCAGGAAGTTTCTGGCAATGATTTCAGCCACTAAATTTTTTTGCAGATTTTAAACTGAAAATCATTGGTCTGTTGGATCTAACATATTATTTCTAATAAAATTACAGAAGAATGCAAGCACTGCAGTGCAAGCATGAGGAAGAAATGAAAGCACTTCAAGCTAAATATGACAGGACTGTTCAACATTATGAGGAGGAACTCCAGAGAGCAAAATACTTTCCATCCAGAATGCTTTCTGTTTCTAGTACAGCTGCTGGACTACCTCAGCTCAATGGAACAAACAGTATCGAATCTTTGCCTTATGAATCTCTGGAGAGATCAGATCTTTTGCTCTGTGAAGATCCAGAATTTTCTTACATGGTATCAAGAGAGTATGAGAAAGACGTTTTACCTTTGGTAAGCATAATAAAAGATTGCAAGGGATATACTATTTTCTGATATCATAATCTGTGAGGTTTTGCATTCGTTTCAATATGTCCTCTTTGAAATATTTTCACTCACTAATGCCATGCTACTTACTTTTCAATCTACAATGACTGGAACAGGAAATGAAAGAAAGATTAGAACCGTCAATTCCCAATTCCCAACTATAATAAGTGCAAACTGTTCTCTAAATAAATGCTGAGGAACAATACTTGTAAATCTGGTGCTAGTTTGCTATTAACTTTGAATTTAGCAGAAAATATGGGACAGAACACATTGCTTGAGAAGGGACTGCTGGAATGAGTGCTAAAACCTGATAAGTATACAGTGTGCTTTGACTGTTGGAATGTTAGCTTAACTATGAGAAGCAAATTCACGTGCAAAAAATGCATAGAATATAAATATTTATATAAACTGAAGAATGTAACCTGTTGCTTGTATGTACCTTTGGAAGGATTCATTATGAACTACCAATAAGATTTTGAATATTTAGTATTCAATTTTCACAGGCCATATGGTTGCTGAGGAAAGCCAGTAATTATGGGGGGGGGGGACGACTGTTAAAGGCCTGAAGATGAATCTTATTGTTGAGAAGTCAGTCTTATATATTTCACTGAGACTTTCAGTTCCAGGAGTATATATACAAATTAAACCTAGATGCTTTAAAAGCCAAATGATAGTTATCATTTTCAATAAAGGTTTTTCAATATGCAACCAAATATTCAATCTTGGTCAATTTTTTTTTCAGGATCATAAATGCAAATAAACTAGTCATTTAAGTGATTTGGTTTTTTAAAAATAGATATACCTTTTAAAATATGTAGAAATTTATCTATCTAGCTTTTAAATTGGGATTCCATTTGCAGTTAAATTGTACTCAATGCAGACATGAAGCTTTGTCTTCTGATTTTCAATTATTATTTCTCTATCCAATATTAAGAGCAATGTGCAGCAATACAAAATAACAAAACTAAAAGCTATACAACGCAATAAAGTATGTACCATAAAAGAGTCAGAGGCAAATACTTCAAATAAAGTTTAAAGAGGTACATATAAATTAGGAAATACTAGATGCCTGACATGCTTCACCAAAAGAGTGCCACAATCATTCCTTGCGATAATGCTTCATAACATTTCCTTTAGGCACTACAAACAGTGCCTCTTAAGATCTTAATTGGCAAGGATTGACATATACAGACAAGAATAGAATAGAATAGAATAGAGTAGAATAGAAATAGAAATAATAGAAATAGAAATAATAGAAACAGAAACAGAAACAGAAACAGAAATAGAATAGAATAGAATAGAATAGAATAGAATAGAATAGAATAGAATAGAATAGCTGGAAGGGACCTTGTAGGTCATCTAGTCCAATCCCCTGTTCAAGCGGGAGACCCTATCCCATTTCTGACAAGTGGCTGTGCAGTCTCCTGAATTAGTTGTACCTCATGTTGCAGTAATCTAGGAGCAAGGTTAGTAAGACGTGTATCACTGTGACCTAGCTATTCTCTAGAAAGTTCTGGAGCTAGTAAACCGGCTAGTGTTGAAGTTACATTGTGAAACTGGTAGTATAGTTCTCTCCTTTTCATTGTTTAAATAGTAAAAATAAGCATTAGATTAAAATTGGTTTTTTTGATTCACAGTCTTGTTGAACATATTTTCTTTTTAGAGTCCTCTGCCTACCACAAATGTAGATGTGATTGCTGCAAAGTTCCTAGAAGAAGAAGAAGAAAGGTCCCATCATATTTTGGAACGCTTAGATACACATATTGAAGAATTAAAAAAGGAGAGTGAAAGGACAGTACAACAGTTTACACACCAAAAGTAATTTTGTTTTGGGGTTTGTGAATCGAAGAGCTACTTCATTTATGCTGCTTTCTTTAGAGGAAAAACACAGTTATTGCCCTCTGGAAGTAGGTTTCTCTGCTTCTTTGTCTTCGAGTATTCAGGGACAGTGAATTCAAAGAAATGAAATTTGTTTGTAGCAAAATACTTTGTCTGATTACAGTTATTACACTACTATAGAAAACATTTCTAACTAACCTAGGGGAGCATTCTGCTCCCCTAAAGTAAAGAGCAAGCTTCAGGAGTGGATAGTGTTGCCCATCTAAATAGAGTAAATATTTTATGTCTATGCATTCAGAAATAAAATTATGTAGAAACTGTTATTTTATTTTAATATGAATACAAATCATATTGCTTATCATTTGAATATTAACTTTCTGTCTATTTCCAACATGCCATGAAACATGACAAGTGACTTGAGAAAATGAGAAAAGAGAATGCCATTTTGCTTTTCAGGTTTTCTTGTGAATATTCTATGTGGATTTTAGTTGCCATCAAACATCAAATTAATGGCATAGTAATGGTCCTTTGTGTACTTTTAAAACAGTAGAAAAAATATGGTCAAATAACTGTGTCATGAAGAGATATTTTATTATATATCTTGATTAAAAAGTAAAGTTCAATATAAGTAATAAACACCTATACATGGGAGCAATTTAATTTAAATAACAGCTGTCTTATGAAGTACTGCACAGCTGTTCCTAAGCATAAGAACAAATTTGGGAGGCTGGTTGGTATGCCAAACAGCTTTTAAAAAATTGTTTAGCTTCAGGAAGAAATGCAGATTTTAAAGCATGTCCTTGGGCAAAAGCTAAGAAACTAAGTATAGCCTCTTCATATTTTTAACTCATCCTTTTTCTCTAAATTACCAATAAGATACCAAGTTTTCAATGGCCAGGTGCAGCACCTTACTTTGACTGAAATTTCAAAGAAGTGAATTTTAGATTTTTATTCCTGGATATTTGAAATCATGAGTTCAGATTATGATTGTGATTTTCAAAGTGGAATTAGAAAGATATTAAATATATAATCTCAGTTCATGATCTGCACCGTAGTTTCTCTCATGTTTATTATCATAATGGCATTACAGTATGCTTTTTTCTCTGCTGGATAGTAATTTTTGATATCTCTTCTGTAGAAAGTGAAGAGTATTTACATCTTTAAAATGTAGCATATTTGGTGTCAGTCCTGAGATTACTGAAGTACTACAATGCGGAAGTGTTAATAACTAAAGAAAACCTTGCTCCAAGAGTACATTTTAACATACACCTTAGTTTTTCCAGTGCCGTTTCTATGTAATTCCATTCTCTTTTCAGTTTTCTAATGCTTCTGTTTTGCTTGCTAAATTTGCTTTTCTTGGCTTTATGCCTCTCTTTGCCAACATTTTAGTTTGACACTGATGGACAGTATGAAATTATACTCAGCATGAAGGTATGCCAAAAAATAACACAAATTTTGATTTATACTGTTCTGTTGGGATGGTAAATAATAGCTGTCAAAACACACACAGCATTTTATTGGACATGAAGAACAACTCATTTTCAGTCCAGCAGAATTAATGTGCTCAATGTTTTCTTATATGAGACCACAATGTTGTATTTTATATAATGATCCCGAAAGAAAGAAAACGAATGCCTATTGCTTCAGTTATCATTGGTGAAGCACTCCCTGAAAGGTGGAGATAGACAAAGTTGGTGAAGAGCTCTGTAGATTTATTTACAGTACTGTCTTATAACTAATTGTGATTTACTATGACTTATTTTACATTTTCTTAAAATGTTAAGTAGATGTGTATGTAGGAAGGTTGGCCTCCTTTTCTTTGTTCCCTGGGACTGAGGCGAAAAAATGGTCTCATTTTCTCTGCTGGATAAGTGAAGAAACCTGGGAGCAGAGCTGTGCGATAACTAAGGAAGTGCTGGTGTAGCCCAAGGAAGGCAATTCAATATAGTGAGGAGAGGCAGTGGGGAAAGAAGGAGGAAGCATAATTGCCATTAGGAAAGCTGCGAGCCAGTCTTGAGAGAAAAAGCAAAAGGGTCCATGAATTCTATCTTCTGTCTAAATAAATATTTTTGTATGCATATGTTTGAAGAAAAATTAATTGCTGGATTATCTTTGGGAGAACAAGAAAGCAGGAATAAGGCCTGGTCCTGGAACAGAGAGGGAAATTTTAAAGATATTTGAGGCTTATGGTTTTTATGCAAGTTATTTGTCTGTTACTTCTACCAATTGGCATTCTATGAAATGTTTTTTTTTTAAATTGCTCCCAATACCATTTTGTGATGATACTCATAAACTCAGAGAGAGCAGAGATAATTGTTGTTTGAACTGGATTATTATTACTGTTTATTAAGTTTATATGCCACCCATCTCACTGTTGCAATAAACTTTGTCAAGTAGATGAAGAGTGTATGGGTGGCATTTGCACTTTTTGGAAGTCGTTTGCCATATCCTTCTTCCTAGAGCAAAGAGTAAGAGATTGGCCCATTTAGCCTGGCTTCATGCCTAAGGCAAGCTTAGAAGTTACAGCTTTCTAGTTTCTCCCCCTGAATCTTTAACCACTGCATTAAATTGGGTCTCGTGCCTTTGCTATTACGTGTATTTTCCAGGAATTAAGCAGCTAGTTTTTATGTTCTTGAAAAACACTTGTTTCTCAGAAAACCAATAGTGATGTCAAGTACCTGAAACAGTTCTTAATTTTGGCACAGCAATCTTTTTCAAATGATTAGTAGCTCAAAATTAAAAGATTGTTCTAATACAGGGGTGTGAAACTGCCGGCCCGCGGGCCGGTTTCATCATACCGGAGCCGCGCCCACCCCATTGCTGGCAATGGCAAAAAAGCTCCGATACGTTGCACAATGTCACGTGACGTCACGAGTTTGACATGTCTGTTCTAATAGATTAGAATTCTTGCTGTTATGACATAATTTATGTCAAACTCGCAACGTCATGTGACGTGTCGTGACATATCGCAACTTTTTTTCCATTGCCGGCAATGGGGTGGGTGTGGTTTTGCCATGATGCATCCGGCCCATGGGCCGGCATTTTGACACCCTCTCAAACATTAAACTGCTTGATTTGATGTGGGTAATGACCATAACAACACTTGGATATGGGAAAAAATGTCTCTTGAATAGCTGATGTAGGAACTACTTTTATCTGTTACTACTGGATTATGCCTTGAGAAAGTTGAATGTTTTTTGGGAATAATCAGATGGTGTTATAATTAATAAAGTTGGTGGGGAGTTTTGCCTTCAAACCTGGACTTTTAATAACTACAGAGGTTATATTTTGCTTGAGCCTGCATGCACCTTCTATTTTACATATTAAAAATATTTTGGAAATGAAATACATTAATAATGTAATTGGTAGTCAAAGCCATGAGTTCATAGAACGTGTAATGAATGCACTTGTTTAGTAATACACTCATGAGATAAAAAGATATGGCATCCAACAGCTGGGCTCAATATTAAAATCCTTAGGGTAGTGCTGCACCAGAGTTTTTGTGCTTTTTAAAATTTGAAAGAAGTAGATGAATGAGTTACTTGCACTCTCAAAATAAATACGTCCTTGTTCAATGCCATTCATAACTTTGGATGGTCACTAAGGTGGTTGTAACCCAAGGACCACTTGTAACAATTTCAGCAACATAGGAATGGAAATAGGCAAATGTCTTCTACTTCCCACACTTGACACCTTAGAAAAATTTCAAAACAAGTCCCAAATTGACTCTCTTCCCCCCCAAAATATTAAATCTCGCTGCTGAAAATCATAATATAATATTGGGGCAATTTTTTTTGGGACTCCAAATAGCCAAAAGACAATGGAAAATATTCTCTGGATATTACAATGCATTATATTGAGCAAAATGGGGGGGGGGGAAGGGAATCTAAAGAAGTTATGGAGAATCCTTGGGAGAAACTCTGGAATACCCAGCATTTTTTTTTCACCTGAGTTCCCTTTTGTACTAGAAAAATCTATGTGTTAAATTTAACAGAATAACGGGGTTGGAAGGGATCTTGGAGGTCTTCTAGTCCAACCCCCTGCTCAGGCAGGAAACCCTATACTATTTCAGACAAATGGCTGTCCAGTCTCTTCTTAAAAAACGTCCAGTTTTAGACCACCCACAATGGCAAATTGCTTCACTGATTAATTGTTCTAACTATCAGGAAATTCCTCCTTAGTTCTAGGCTGATTCTCCTTGATAGGTTTCCATCCATTGCTTCTTGTCCTGCCTTTATTTATGTAACAATTAGAACTTGTTTCCAATCCTACATTGGTTTTTGCAGTTTCCTCTCAAGACATACATACAAGAAATAAAGGAAAGCATACATATTAGTCATCCTTGGTGTTTTACGATATTTCATGCATCACAACTGATTTGAGTATATTGTCAGAATTAGAATAGGACATAACCTTGGGCCCCACCCAGCCCTTTTTTTTCTTTTCAATCCAGTGGAATATTGTCAAGAAGTGATATAAAGTAGGCTAGATATGGCTAAGAGAACCATTTTGTGCAGTAGTTAAGAAAATGGGAGGCTGTGTTCTAGTTACATCTTAGCCACAAAGTTAGCTGGATGACCCTGGATCAGGCTCACACGAACACTTAGCCCTAGGAAGCAGGCAATGGCAAACCATTTCTAAAATCTTGGCAAGAAAACTGTAGGGACATGTTCAGGCAATTGCTAAGAATCAAGATTGTCTCAGGTACACAAACACACTGTAGGATATGACTGGGGACTATAGAAGAAACAAAAATTCAGAAAATACTCTTTGTGAACCTCTATGGAAGAGGAGTTGGGCAGTGGGTCATGTGACTCAACAGCTCATAAACAACCTTTTCTGTGCTTCCTGGTATATATGTACACACACATATACATACACATAAATATAACATTGTTTCACAGGATTAAAAAAAATAAGACTATCTCCTGTGGCCAGTATTGTTAATGGGGATAGAAAGAATTCCAGGAATTCTTTATATGCTGTCCCTACTTCGTTTACACTACAGGATCACACTCCTGAAAGTTCATTGGCAAAGAGCCAAAATCTTCAAAATGAACCCCTGTAGAATGATTTTCTATAGGAACTTTTTGAAGTATTTTTAAATTAAAACTTTGATAGATGAATGCTACATATCTTAAATACTGTCAACCTCATCTAATTAAATTCAAATTAAATTTGTTGTTTCTTACATAGGGTTCTATTACTCTTCAAAGTTAGGCTGCTGTGCCATTTTCCTAGACTACTTTCTGTGGTTATGCACCAAGTATTATAGTTAGAAAAATACTTTCCTGACCTAGTGTCTTCCAAATGTGTTTTAAGATAAGCACTAGAATTTCCACATAGTACAAATTCTTTGCTTTTCAAATTGTTGCATCATAAAGGAAGAATGTCAGGTCAGGAAATACTTGTTAAATTCGTAGTGAGAACCAGTTTGATAACAGTGAGGTATTTTTCCATAGCAATGATCATCTGCCCTGTCCCTGAATCTGCAGAACATGAACTGCAAGTGGGTCTACTGGCTTGCATCATTTGAAACACTGATAATG